CTTCATGCCACCGACTGAGCTACCGGAAGCTAATGGTAACCCCCTTTCTGTGATTGTGCAGAAAAGTTGGAATCTTCATTGCATTCCATCTTTTCTGGACTTTTTGCGGAAAGGAAGCCTTACATAAATTGGCGCCCAACGATTGAGGCTTCGATTGGTGTTTGGCTTTGTCGACAAGTGGTTTCTATTTTTAATTATTTTTGGTACACAAATTTCTAATTCTTTAATCATCCTTACTTTTTGCTTAATGTTTAAAATTTTTATCAAAAGATTAAAATTTTCCACCTGTATAGCCTAATTGTTGGATCTCTGGTGTACTGATATAGCTCTCATGATGTTTGGTACGTAGGAAATTTACTTTCAAAATTATTTTTGCCTTCCCCAAATGTTTTTACTTTTTGAATTTTTGACTGTACTTGAACTTTTGATCATTTGTTTTCATTCTGATGGCAATAATCTACTGACTAGAGTTATCTGGAGTAAATCATTTTGCGATTTATCCATTTGTCTGAATTGTATGAAATTGATATTCATAATTTTTCGTATATTTTGGCGTTTTACTTTTTTTTCAAGTATTGACACTTGGACATAGTGCGTTGATACTTAACCTTTCTTTTTTTTAAGAAACAAATGATGTTTTTCTTGACTATATTTTTGCTACTTTTCAAAGGGTGAAGTAATAGGCCTGAATCATTTTTACCTATACAAAGACACACATACTCATTTATGGTAATTCAATGTCAACTTGTTGTTGAAATATAGTATACGTTCCTCAGTAACTATTATAGTAATTTTGTCTCTTGTTTGGAGCATAAGTTTTAGTAATTTTAATGTTTTATAGTTTTATCTGGCATATTCTTTGGGGAAATTAGAACATTAGTGTCTGATTTTCCATTGGATTAACAGGACTTGAACGTCTCTGTACTTTTTTAATGTATGTCAGATATAAAATAATTTTTTTAAGATTTGGCTGCTCTTGTTTTTGTATTGAAACTTTTTGTTTGTATTGTTAGTTTTTTATAGTGTTTTGGATCCTTGTTATTTCCGCTCAATCGAAGGGGGCGAGTTTTTCGATCTGTACATTTTAGCGAGTAGGTTTTCCTATGTTTATTTCCAAGTACAGATGCGAACGGACAAGAATTTCCTTTGATAGTTGTTAAGCTAATTTACTGTAAAAGGCAGTTGAATGTTTACTTTGGACATTTAACATCGTTGTTCTTTTAACCTTTTGAAATATTACAATCAGTCCAATACTAATATTACCGCTCAATCGAAGGAGGCGAGTTTTTCGATCTGTACATTGGAGCGAGTAGGTTTTCCTATGTTTACTTCCTAGTACAGATGCGAACGGATAAGAATTTCCTTTGATAATTGTTAAGCTAATTTTCTGTAAAAGGCAGGTGAATGTTTACTTTGGACATTTGTCATCGTCGTTCTTTCAACCTTTTGTACTATTACGTCAGTCCAGCATATACAAAATTTACAAGTCATAATTATTTTTCTGATTCCAATTTAATGTGTATAATTCATCTTTTGAATATTTCATTTTTCTGAGTGTACTCAAAATTTAAATTGCATTCCCGATCAAAATCATGTGACAAATACTGTGTATAATATTTTATAATGTTTTTATGCGTATATTTTCTGAATTTCTTTTACATACTTACGTACCTCTATTTTTGAAGTCTATTACTTTTGAAGTTTTTGATAGTATCCCTTTTTGAATTCATTATAACTTTCTTCGAGAGCACAGACTTACATTGATTTTTGGTTCAAACTTTTGATGTTTGTTTACATATTTTTGAGTGGTTTTGAACTTTGACAGTATTTTGTAGTCTGGATAGTTACATAGATTCGTTGCGATGTATGCCTTTGAGGGTCTTGTACTATCCACAGTTTCTTTAATTGAAAGTGTTTTCTTCATATGCATTTTATTTTCTTCTTGAGACTTGTCATATATGCTTTCCGCCTAGTTGCAAATCTGTGCGTATTGATAAACTCTTGAAACCTCTGGCGTATAAGTAAAACTCACTTTTGATATAGTAATTTATGTCTCAGTTCAATCAGTTCAATTTGATTTGAAGTAATTGTCAATTCCTTCTTGGGATTTTTCATATATGCTTTCAGCCTTTGTGCACATTTGTGCGTATTGCTAAGTCTTAAGCTTGGTTGTGACATTGCTTTCATGTTTCGCTATAGATTTTGAAATATCTGGTGATTTTGCTTTTGCATTTGTTTTGATAGTCTGCTCTCATAGTTTTTTTTTGACTTCTTATTTCTTTCAATTTCTGTCTTGACTTGAAGTAATCGCCAATTCTTATAGATTCAGTATAGTAATTCTCTTTTCATACTTTACACTGGTAAATTATTACAGTTTTTCTAATCTTGTAATATTTCATATTTGAACTTTTATTTTACAATGATATGGTTATTCTCAGTGTAGACTTTGAAGTGCGCTGATGATATCAGTGATCTACATGAGAATATTCCATAGACTATAGACATTCTTGTCTAGGGCTTTGGAGTGCACCTATGGTGACCCTAGAAAGTTGTCTTTCTCTCATATTTTTGCTTTAAATCAAAATTCGAATTCTTACCTATCATATTTATTTCTATTTCTTGTTCACTAGATTGTTTTTTTTATAACTCCAATTTTGCACCTACATATATCGTAGACTTTTGCATACTCTCATGTATCATGATTTATTAAAATATCTTGTGATTTTCGTTTCGCTATTTTGCATTTTACATATGCTCACTTCGTTTCTCAATTATTACTCATGAAACTTTTAATATTTTGCTTACTTTTGTATTTTTTGAGAATTCTTTATAAAATCATGCTCATATAGCTTTGATATTTCCTTTCACTTTATGATTTTAATACGATTAGATTTACAGTTGCACTTGTGTTGCACTTAGTTTTGTTTTGGAAATTTATTTTGCCCTTTTCTATATTGAACTTCAGAATTTTTTTTGGTCTGGTTCTTATGTTGTCACATGACCCGAAAATCTTAATTGAACTTACTTACTCTTTTAGTTCATTGATTGAACTTAAGCTATATTTTGACTTTGAAAATCTTACTTCAATATTTCATAAATGTCTCTTATATACTTTAATTCTCTGAAAACATTTTGAATTATTTTGTAGTCTTACAGACTGCTGGCGCCCGACAATTTTTTTTTGGAATCAGAACTGCACTTAGTTAACATCTTTTTTTGATTAAAATACCTTATTGATCAAGTTTTCATTGGTTTAGTACTTGTAAATTGTTTTGTCATATGACTTGAATTCCTAATGGAATTTGTTAATTTCTTTTGATTTTCATATTTTGAAAATAGTAATGCACTGTTTTTTTTATATTGGATATTGGTTTAAAATATCACTGTAGATGATATTCTTTTTGGGTTTGGAGTATTGCGCGTCTGGCAATTGTTTTGAGAAAGTTTATTATTCCGTTTTTTTTTAGTACCTCTTATGGTTTAGGTACTTACTTAGTTTTGAAGTTTTTAGTAGTCAGTCGTGCATTTTGGAAGCCATTGTGATTCCTCACTTCGTGCTTGGACTACTGCTGAAGCTTTTGGTTTATTATTTTTCTCGTCCTAGGTATGACGATGTTTTATGTTTTGGGTTGTTCATCATATGATGATAGTTTTTGCAACTTCACTGTACTTTTCAGCGAGTTGGTGCTATAACCATCCCTCTTGTTTGGTAGACTTGAGGCTATCTCTTTTTCTTCCAATTCTCTTCTAACATTTTTGTTTCTACCTTACTTTTGCTACTTGTTATCTGGTCGAATGGTTGTACATTTGTCCTTCCGTGATAACTTTCAATTTCCTAATAAAAAAAATTCTTGAATGCTTCTTCGAATTTTTGTTTTTTTTGTTAAGTTGGGGCGAGTGTAACGGTTTCACCGTCCGATCGTATTTATTAAATCACTTCTCGATTATCATTTCATTAATCCCATCTCTAGCTTTTTTACTTGGAAAAATTTCCGCTTGGAGGGCGCTTGATGCGGAGTTCCTGATCTGCGATCTTCCTCGCGCTTCCTTTTTCACTTGAGCCGCCGATCGAACAGGAGCTAAGAATTTTCTTCTCTGTAGCACAAGGTCATATAGCACCATGTGCTAGAATTTTGTAGAATGTGTGTCCGTATAGGACAAAATGATTGGGGCCACCCCCTTTCTCTTTCCCTTTCCCTTTGTCTTTGACTTTGCTTTTGCTTTGTCTTTGACTTTGCATTGCTTGGCCTATCACTTCACCCATGCATGTACCTTGGCAGCGCCATCGCCTTTAAGTTCAACTTCGCCTACAACTGGTTTTGAAGCCACTATATGTGAGGTCACCCCTCATAACTGGGACCTCCACTTCAAGCACCTGGCCATCCTCGCTTCAGTAAAGTCAAAATGGACCAGCGAAAGATAAGTTGATAGTTTTATAGCAGCGCCAAAGATGTAAAACTTATTTTGTTCTTTAAAATTGTAATGTAATGAAAATGCTTCTTTGTTAAATAAAATCTGTTAAATGTTTGTGTTCTGTTTGTTCTTCTATCCTCTAGCCATGCCATGGTCGACACACAGCTACACGCCTGTAGATGTCTTCATGCCACCGACTGAGCTACCGGAAGCTAATGGTAACCTCCTTTCTGTGATTGTGCAGAAAAGTTGGAATCTTCATTGCATTCCATCTTTTCTGGACTTTTTGCGGAAAGGAAGCGTTACAGTAGCCTTAATTGTTTGTGATGCTGTTCAAATTTTAGTGCATTATCCATTACCGTGTTTCCAAGTCGGTCAACCCTCGTTTCCAATTTTGGAAGCTTAACTGAAATATATTTGCAATAGGTTCGCATGTGAATTTCTAATTTTTCTTTTGAGGCAAAGTATTGTAAACACCCATCACAAAAGTGCTTTACTCTCGTATTTCGCGACAACTGACTTGAAACGAGTCTTGAAAAGTTGGTAATTAAGCAGTAATGATGGTTTCCTTCTGAATCATCAATAAGTAATAAGTTTAATGAGTATGTTGTTTTTGCGCGGTGTAGTGTAACGGCCATTCACTAGACGGACCTGAACTCGGACGGCAACCGGGACCCGACTGACGACTCATCCACGTTTGTCAATACATTAGACGGAAATTACACGAACCCTGCAAAAGAGCTCATTTGTACACTGAATGTGGCGAACCCAATAGCATTATGTCTCCGATATTATCAAAAAAGGCGAAAGTTGCTTTGGCTGTAGGTACAATCATATTATTAGAATCAGAAAAAAAGAAAAAACGTGTTTGGGTGAAAGAATGGCTGCAAAAGAGAGAACAATTTACTCATTTGCGATTATTGAAATGTATCCAATCATGTGAACCACTTGATGTTATAAATTACCTCAGAATGGACTATGACGCATTCCAAGAATTATTAATGCTAGTAAAACCTCTGATAGAAAAGAAGAACACTTTATTCAGAGAAGCAGTAAGCGTTGAAGAACGTCTGTTGGCCACCTTGAGGTTTCTGGCAACTGGAAGGAGTTATGAAGACTTAAAGTTTTCTTGTATAATTTCTCCTCAGTTACTTGGAAGAATAATTCCAGAAACGTGTCGTGCTATATACAACTGCCTCCGGAAGAAATACTTATGTGTAAGTACAATAATTATTTTTTGCATGTATTCTGATGCATATAAGAAACAGAGTGTTGAAAAAACTTTTATTATTTCAAATTATGTCTAACAATTAAAGATATGTGAATCAGTCTGTAATACTCGTAGTACCTTATCACTTCTTAATTATTAAAAACTAAAAATTCTTCCATCACTTCCCTATTTGCAGACGCCTGATTTGGAGTTGTCAAAGTGGTAAAAGTTGGTACATCTGGTTGATGTGTATATGACGTGCTGGGTTCATTAAAGGTTGGGTTAATGGATGTTGTATACCTGGAGCATGAGTTTTGAAATATTTGTGCTTGCGGAACGTATGGGGCACTTTGATATGATGGTGGTTGGTAACCCAGGGAAATATGAGAAGAATGTGTGAGATTTCCCAATTTTGCATGGTATAGCACATCCGAAATCAGTTTTTGGGCTATTATCTTCTGTCCAACTGCAATATCCTGTAATTGTTAACCAGTATTTTTGCCAAATGTTATTTCTTGTGGTTCAAGAACATCCTGTTGCGGAGTTTCCAATACTTTTATGGAAGCATCCAAAAATTTATTTTTCTTCTGTGTCCAAGTTGTGCAGTTGAGAGTTCGCTTGTTACGGGAATTTGGTGTTGCACTTTGAGGAGCTTCAGGCGATAAAACTGATGATGAATCTAAATCTTGATCAGAATGTTGTGTGTATGCATCGGTTTCCTGCAATAAAATAGCTCACAGTTAACTTTGCCTCATATGATAGCTGTGTTATTTTTGGTTTCAGATTCCATCAAAAGAAGAGGAATGGCTCAAAGTAGCAGAAGGATTTAACAATATGTGGCAATTTGAAAATTGCTTAGGAGCCGTAGACGGCAAACACATCAAACAGCCCCCAGGAAGTGGTTCATACTATTATAACTATAAAGGATTTTTCAGTGTTGTGTTGTTTGCTATCGAAAATGCTAATTATGAATTTACTTATTTAAGTTGTCGAACTAATGGAAGAATATCAGACGGGGGGGTCATTAAGAAAACAGATTTTTACAATTTACTGATAACAGATTCTTTAAAATTACCCCAACCAGTCAATATGCGAGGAATTCAAAATAAATTACCCTTTGTGTTTATTGGGGACGAAGCCTTTAGTCTAATGACAAATTTCATGACGCCATACAGACAAACCAACAGTATTGGTTATGAAGAAAAATGTTTCAACTATCGACTTTGCCGTGCCAGGCGCGTAGTAGGAAACGCATTCGGGATCATGGCAAATAGATTCAGGATTTTCCTAACGCCAATAGCTACTAAAGTGGATACAGTTGATGATATCGTTATGGCATGCTGTGTTTTACACAACTGTTTACGCCGCAAAAGCACTTCTTACATACAACCTAGTAACATCGATACTGAAGACATTATCTCAGGGACTGTATTGATAGGTGATATGCACATGAATGGAGAACTAATATCATTAGATGTGTCCAGGCAAGGATCTCCGACTATTGACGCAAAGATGATACGAAATGGATATAAAGAATATTATAATAATGCAGGTGAAGTTGACTTTCAACACAAATTTGTTTATTAAGTTTAAGATGTATAGTATATGTGTTGAAATAAAATATCTGAATTATTATAAATATTGTCTTTTTAGATTATTTGTTAGTTAAAATATCTACTTACTGAGGCCTGTGATTGGTCATCTAGGTTATTTCCTTCTATCGAAGAAACCACTGCACGAGACTCTTCTTGATCCATCAGGAAAGACAATAGATCAAAATACCACAATGTAGGTTCTGGTACATCTTCTGTTCCCACCCCACTTCTCTTTGAACTATTAATTCGCCTTATCTGGCGTCGGAAAGATGACCGTAAGGACGATATTTTTTTGATAACAAAGTTCTTGTTGGCATCTGGAAACATTTCTTTGCTTTTGTTAATTAAATTCTCATACGCAGCATTTTTTTTCTGTTTGTTGCGGTAATCCTTACACTTGATGTCCCAAAGACAAGGATTTTCCTGGTAAAGTTGGATAAATTCCTCCCAAAAAGATTTATTATCTTCAAAAGACATTTTAATTTGAATTCCCTTCAAGAAATGCCTTGATACTTTCGTTGATCTCGGAAGAACTCTTTCGTCGCCGGACAAGTCTTGACAAGTTACAAACACATTGTAAAAACAGCACGGATTGGTCGCGGTCGGGTCGTAGGTTCGGTATTCAAACGAGCGAACTCACAACCCGACCCGGATCGCTGTGCGACATGTCTTTCGATACCATATATTGGCGGCTCGGTCGGCGGACAAGTCAGGACGAACCAATCCGTCACACCAATCCACTAATGAATGGGGGGCTTTCGGTCTCACCACCTGATATTTAGGCTTCCCATCAATGAATTCCTTTTCTAATCCATAAACGTTGATTGATATGTTATTCACGCTTTCAAATTCTGATATTGACTTGAGAGTGACTGGAAATGTCATTCCAGCAAAGTTTAAGCCCGGAACACTCAAAAAATGTAGATATGACGTTGTTAGTGATGATCGACCTTTTGGTTTTACCATACCAGCTACAATTGACGATGCAAAGCAGTACTCATCGTTATTACGTATATTGAGTACTGCTTTTTTGTTCCTAATTTCCTTTGCAAGCGGAAAATATGATGCTGCTCTCAAAGGATTATATTTATTAATATTAATTTCTAAATATAAAATCTTTTCTAACACCCACCCTGAGTCTTTTTCTGCAAAATCTTTAGATTTTTGCTCTATTTTACTTTCCAAATCATGATAGATTGCTTTTAAATTTGATGATTGTGTTATGATTACATTGTTTGTATTGTGGGACTTCACCTCTCGTCGGCTTTTAGCTGGTAAGATATATAAACCAAAAATTTCCATATTTATTTTGAGCGTTGTTTGCTTATGCAATTCATTTTCAATCACGTTTATGGAGTCATGTTCAAGATTATTCATATATTTAGTAACGTTCAACGTATCTATACTAGCGGTTATTTGATAACTGACTATTCTACCCCGAAATGCACTTCGACATACTGACACATTATTGTGTAAAGGTGTCCATAGATGTGCCTTATGTTTGATGCTTTTCAGATGTGCTGCATGTGCATTCTTCGGTACCTCACAGTTGCAACTATCACAGCGAATTGTTCTGCTTTCCGCACTCGTCTGTGAGTCGTTGCTGGTGGTTGGACTCATTCGACTCGGTTTCGGTATTGCAACGTTGGCTGTTGAAGGATCCAGTCGTCTGGTATTGACTCCTGTGGTGGTCTGGGTGATGCTAGCTGTAATAATAAGTTCATAAATATCAGTTATTTAATTTGGCTTAGTTGTTTGTAACTTTAACCTTCTACACGTTGTTGTTCGGGTGGACTCTTCTCGCTTGTGCAGACCTCTCTACCATGTCGCAGTAAACCTTTTCGTGCCGAGAATTTTTGCTGGCATCGAGGACATTCCCACTTGTCTGCAGTGCTTCGTGGAGCGGTTGCATTACATGGACACTTGGATGCGGGCTCCCCATCCTGGCTGCACCGCTCTCTACAGTGTCTCAACAAACTTTTCCTCACTTGTTGTGAGGCGTGCACGTATCTACTGTGTTTCTCACACATAAATCATTTATATATATATAATATATATTTCTGCACCTCGCGTTCTCCAGTGGTATCTGACACAAAAAAAAACATTAGCTGCTGTACATTGATTTGACCTATTTGCAGGTTTCGTTTTTTTTTGTCCCATTTCTACATATCAAGTTCGTCATTCACTGCACACCGTTCCGTTTCTAGTCGTTCTAGTTGCGTGAACGCCAACTCTTCGATCCACCTGTCGCGATTGAGTTGCTGATCCACAACACTACGTTCTGTCGCGTCCCGTTCAAGTTGCGTGAACGGCAACTCTTCGATGCAGGTGTCACGATTGAGTTGCTCATTTACCACACAACGTTCTGTCGCGTCCCCTTCAAGTTGCGTGAACGGCAACTCTTCGATGTAGGTGTCACGATTGAGTTGCTCATTCACCACACAACGTTCTGTCGCGTCCCGTTCAAGTTGCGTGAACGGCAACTCTTCGATGTAGGTGTCGCAATATCGTGTATCGTCCACATCACATCGAACACTCGCAATCGCGGCAGACACCGATGGCTCTTGCTGTGTTGAGGTAGCTCCCGACATGGATGGCATTGGCTGAGCTCCCAACAACCTGATCTCAAACGATGGCCAAGCATTCATCGTTGTAGACATATCAATGTCCGGATTGATGGATGCTAACACTGCCTCAATATCGATCTCATTTGAGGAGTTCTGTTGACTTTGGGCGATGTAATTGTTAAGCATGGTTTGCCAGCCCATGCTAACAATTTCGATGGATAACTCATCATTCCCCGAAGTAATAATAATAATAATAATAATAAATGGGCTTTATTTCGTACTTAAGTAAATGTACAAAAAAGGCGAAGTGTCGCTAAGATTAGCGTTTTTCAACTTAACCTTAATTTTAACAAAAAAAAATATATATATATATAATAAAACATTCTACCAACAAAAATGTATCCATAATTCTCAATAATTACTAAATAATTAACAACACAGAACAATTACAAGAATAGTCCATATTTCTAGCATTTTGTACTCATCATCAGACCTCGACTTGTAGTTTTAGTTTAAGCCTCTTTTTAAAATTAAATAACGTATAGTTTTGGAATGTAACAGGCAGATCATTATATAATTTAATAGCATTGTAGCTGAATGATGTTTTGTAGACAGCCTTAGAATGTAAGGGTATCACTAACATATTCCTATTCCTGGTATTCAGTTGATTTATGTCACTATATCGTGATAACTTATTATGCAAATATTGTGGTTGTTTGGTAGCTAAGACCTTATGTGTGAGTGTCAATAAGTGAAGCTTTTGCATGCCTTTAATCTGCAGAATACCAAGATCCTTAAATTTATGAGAAATATGATCAAACTTTCGTATTCCGCAAGAAAATCTGATGCACGAATTCTGAATACGCTGTAATTTGTTTTGTTCACTATATGATAGAGCTGCGCCATATATACTGTCACAATAACTGATCTTTGATATAATTAATGCTTCACACAGTTTCAGCTTTACTGAAGTAGATATTATTTGCCTATGTGGATAAAACTGTTTCAAAATGCAGTATGATGCACTACATAACGAATTTACGTGTTTTTTGTATTTTAGTTCTGTGTCAATCCAGAGTCCCAGGTTTTTACACTCATTCATTATAGGAAGCCGACAATCATAGATTTTAAGGTTAATTTCCGTTTCGATCAATGTTCTTTTGTTTTTTGAGCCGAAAACCATAACTGAAGATTTAGATGGATTAATTTTTAGGTTATGCGAGCACGAGATGTCTACTAGCCTTGTTAAGTCTTCGTTGAGCAATGCTTCTGCAATTTTAAAATCTTTGTGTTGGAAACTGAAATAAATTTGAGTATCATCAGCATAGTGATGGATTGTGCAATTATGGACATATTGATTGAAATCCGATATATATAGAGAAAAGTAAAGGTCCCAGTATGGAACCTTGAGGAACACCAAAACTTATAGCAGTTGACTGTGACATTTTCGAAGCCGTTAGGACCTTTTGATTTCTATTTGACAAATAGCAGCTTATCAAATTGACTGCAGCATCAGTAAAACCATAGTAAGACAGCTTAAGTAGCAGAATTTCAGGGTCTATCATATCGAAAGCTTTTGTGTAATCCAGCAGAACTAAACAAGTGATATTTCCTTGGTCAAGGCCTCTTATAACATCATCAGTGACATTGGCTAGAGCAGTTGTTGTACTATGGTTTTCCCTGAATCCAGACTGCATTGATGGAACTATTTCATTACTGAAAATATACTGAGATATTTGTATCTTCATTTCCCGTTCCAAAAGCTTCGAAAATGCGGGAAGTAAGCTGACTGGTCTAAGTTGCGTTACAGATGTGGGAATCGCTACTTTAGGAATAGGTATGATGATAGCCTGCTTCCAAGCATCAGGGAAACAGGATGTTCATATTGCGTGATTGATTATAAATGTAATATGGTCTAAGAGCAAAGTGAAAATGTATTTTATCATAATGAGTGAGATTCCATCAGCCCCTTCAGCATTAGTTTTAATAAATGAGAAACTCTTCGCAACAGATTCTTTGGCAACCTTTTGGAAACAGAATGACTTGGGAAACTTATTGTTTTGATATTTGTTCAGTAGTTCTAATTGCTTTTGTGTCTTGGTTATGATCGGAATATTTGAGAAATGTGAATTTATTTCATCTGCGTCATTGAAGCTATCTGGAAGAGTATTTATAGAGAACTTAATTATATTAAGTTTCCTAAGAGAACTCCATATTGCTTTACTGTTCCTCCCAGATAGGATATATTCCATATAAGCCTTCTTCTCTCTCCGCAGAGCAGCAGCAGCATAATTACGGAGTTCTTTATAATAGTTCCAGTGGGCAGTTGACTTACTTCTTTTAAACCTTAGATACGCTTTATCTCTAGCTTTATTGATCATTTTAATATTGTATGTTAGCGAAGGAGCTGGTGGCTTAGTAACTCTAAGTGTTCTCATAGGTGCACAATTATCAAATAAATTTAGTATGTTCCTATTTAAAAAATTTACCATGTCATTAACGCTGTTTAATTGAAAAATATCATCCCAATGAGTCGAATGAAATAAATCATAAAAGGAAGGTACGTTCATTAAAGTTACGAAAGTCCCTAAACGTGTAAAACTTCTGCGTCCGGTTGCTTAACGTTTTATGGAGGTGACAAACAACAGCTGAATGATCAGATAACTCATGAACTGGTACAACATTGCAGTTTCTTACATTTTCTCCATCTGAGCAGATAATAACATCTATCAAAGTTTGTGAGTGGCTTGTAACTCTCGTGGGAGCATCTACTACCTGCTTCAAATTGAAAGACTCTTAAAAATTTAGCATAATATCCGTAGCCGATGAATTAATCAATAAATTTATATTGAGATCACCTAGAATTACAATAACATCCGCAGATGGTAATAGTATAGATAAGGTATTTTCTATACTGTCAAATGTTTGCAGAATATTGGAACAAGGAGGTCGATACAATGCACCGAAGGTATACGTTTTGCTATCGAATCTGAAACTGATCCATTGCTCTTCCAAAAGGGGATCAATATTTGTACGGAGCAACTTGAATTTTATGTGTTCTTTTAGAAAGAAGCCGACACCTCCCCCTCTACCGATTCTGTCCGCATGTATAAAATTGTAATTGGGAATACGGATAGCCGAAGATCCGATATCATCATTCAACCAAGTTTCAGTGACTGCAAATATGTATATCGAAATTTTCAGATATCACAAAATCCTGGAGTAGACAAAATCCTGACAAAAGCGATCTAACATTAAGATGACCAACTTTCACGTCTTACATGTAAATTAATGTCTATTTGATAGTAAAGAAATAGTATAAAAAAAATAAAAATAATCAGTCCACACTACTCAATTAGTACGTACGTAGTACGTATATATGTATTCTACAAAAATATATATACACATATACATATATATACATATATATACACATATATATGTTCCAAAACTAGAAATAAGAATGACAAGATGAAAGGTTTGGCGTATAGTTAGATTTTAGAAAGATGATGTAAATCAGTATATGAATTTATTTTAATTTCTTATTTCTACCAGAGGAAGATGAAGAAGATGCTGATCTTGTTCTCGCAGCTTCTGATTTTTCAGCGGCTTGTTGATTCAAGTCGTGCTTGGCTTTCTTAGCTGGCGGTTTCACAGGAGAACAGCTATCACGTGCTGTATCAGAGTTAAGGGCTGATGGTTGCCCTGTTATTGTTTGTTGAGAAGATACGTGAATACTAGCAACTTCCGATACAGGTGTAGTTGGTTGACTTGAACTTTGATTGTCGTTCACCTGAGTTTCGAAGTCCTCGTCGGTAGATTCTACCAATCCGCTGCTTCTTTCTAAATCTTCAGCAGTATACGAATCTCCATTTATCACTAGTTCGTTTCCTATAATTCTGGCAGAGTATTTTTTTTGTTTAGCTAGTTTACGATGTTTTTGCAGGATACTGTTGGTCTCGCGGTCCTCAAGACATAAGTCGTTAACAATGAATACTTTAGTATTACGGAGCCTATGTGCATTTTTGAAAATGAGTTGCTTTTTCATATATGAAATTAGTTCAATTTTCACTGGCGGATTCTCTCCAGACTTAATTGGGTAAATATTGTTTAAATCGTCTAGTGTTAACTTGATGGACAGCAATTGGTTTAGTTTATTAAGAACTATCTCCCCATGATTTTGTGCTGAGGAATCTATATCTAGACCAAAAACTAGCACATTGTTTTTTCGTACCACTCTCTCCAGCTGCAGGTTACGCTTCTCTAGCTTCTTATTAATGTTTTCAATACAGCTAATCTGCACATTTTGTTGAGTAATAATTGCTAGAAGTTTAGAGTTTTCAGTTTTGATTGCCTGAACTTCATGTTTTATCTGTTCGCTCAAATTATTTGCTTCCGTTTTTACTAGTTCAACCAATTTTGAAAAGAGTTCCGTATTGGTTAATTCAACTCCGCCACTGGTCATTCCGCAGCCTAGGTGTCTAGCAGATATTTGGCCGATATGCGATAATGAACCTTACGCTGTCGATTTTATACTGACGTAAAAAGTGGAATTTCAATATTTGATGTGTATAAGCCAACCTTGAACAGTAAAATTTTCAAGAAGTACTCACTGCCAGTTCAGATTTGGTTTCGCTGAATTTTACAGTAATCACTGCATTGATGACGGCACTAAAACATAAATTTACGGAGAGGATATATCGATATGTCTTTTCACAACAACAATCCGAATCGGTGTAGAGTAGTACTAGCCATCGTTTGCGGGTGCCCGTTCAGCGAAGGGTCAACGGTTTCGCATGGTGGTACAACTTGAACATTTTGCAATACCCGTACACGGGGCCTTTACAGTTTGTCCAGAATCAGGCGCTTGAACACATGTCTGCAATTGAACAAAGAACACAATGTTAAAGACTGATGCTTTCAACCTGAAGTGTTTGGACTGCAGTGACAGTTATGACTATGAGCACTTATATACAAGCATTTCCACTCCTACCTCACTTTCACGGATTCTTCCGTTCGACTTTCACGATTTCTAGCATGAATTAACAGTCAAGATTTATTAGTTCATTAAAGGTTACTGATCGCGTTTAAGTTTTACATTTATTATCCGATGATAATTTCGTGACCTCGACTTTCATCCTTAAGAATATAACTACCCACCTATACTTTCATTGTCCTTTATAGCATCATGACCTCGAATTCTCCTGACCTTGTGACGGAGGAGGAGAGCATACTTATATACTCACTATAGTCGTCTTTCTATTCCGTCGCTCCCCAGTCATCGTCATGGATGATCAGGATCCAAATGATCTGTACATCTTTCCATGAAGATGGCTTGGCTAGTCCACTCCTCTTCGACAGCACAGCCTCTACCTTAATTGCGGGAGGTGCTGCACCCGACGTTGGCAATGCTTTGTTAGACGACGTTGTCGACATCGAGTCTGCCGACGAAGATGAGAGGGAGGGCGCGGGGGAGGTTTCTTCGTCCGAGAGCGATTCTGAGGTCGAGCTTGATGAGCTCCACGTGGGCCTTGCTCCTCTTGACGACCCACCTGAGGTTGCCATTCCTGAAGAATTTCAGGATGACAATCTCGTGTGGGATCTGGACGATCCATCCAGCGATTCGGGGTATATCAGCCCCTAATGTGTATTAGTTTCAAGGAGTTAGCTTTAAGGATTTAGTTTTAAGATTTTATTTGTAAGGATTCTGTAAAGTATATTAGCTTTAAGATAATAACACCCAGCCCAATAAAAGATTTCTATACAATATATCACAATCCATCCCCAACCATCATGTCAAATAAAAACTGTAATATCAGGTTTTTTTTCTTTGTATACTGAAAGTCCTTAGCTTTAAGAGATCACCATAAAGGATTTCACGCTCATAATCCATATTCATCCTTCTGACATCACCTATACCTAATCTTTCCTTGCGTACATACTTCCTTTCAATATTTCTACCTTTTATTCATATTTTTTATTTTTAGGAGTAATTTCCTTCCGTATCTTTGTCCCTGCTGATTTTATGCTTTAGTTTTCCTATTGCTAACGTCTTCCTATTACCCATATCTTCTATTTCTATATTCCGTTTAGCGACATGCATTATTTTATTTCAGGGGTAATTCACCCCTATTTATTTGTCCTGTTAGTATTACATCATTTTATTACCATTTACATCTCCTTATAATACTAGCATTCGATTTCAAAACATCCTTTTATCAAATTTTACCTTTTAGATTCTTTACCCCTTATATCTTTTCTAATTCCCTTTTTACAACCAAACTTTATAATAGCACACATGTCCCTTCTACTTGTATTGATGACATTACCAAAAAATGATTCATATATACTGTCTACACGATTGATTGCAACTGTACTAAGTTAATTCCAAGAGTGGACTTGTAAAATTTTTTTTATACTTTTTCCGCGATCGATTGCAAGTGTAGTAAGTCCATTCCAAGACTGGACTTGTAAAATTTAAATTTTTTGTCCCCCCTACTGAGGGTTGCCACCCCTATTTTTTCAATTCACGTTTTTCACTCTAATTTCTCTTAAATGACCGATTTTTTGAATTTTTTAGCTATCTGTCTTGCTTCTACAACCTTACACTCATTATTCTCTCAACTTATCCACACATTTTTTTCCTTCACTTACCTTCACACTCGATCTCCTTTTCCTCCTAACTTTCCCATTTTCTTTCTTCGGCTGCAATACAGATGCTTGCCTCCCAGCGGACTGTTGTCACACTTACGTATACTATTCGATGCTATTCGCCTTTCGCAGTACAAACACTTTGCTATGTTCTTACTATCTATGTGGAGCTTATTCACATATCCGTCGTATATACTAAATAAGGCATACCTTGCTCCTATGATACACCTCTCACATACTATTGATCCCATCATTGTGGTAATATTGCTGACAACGGTCTTCGCTCCATTCTACACCCCTCGCATAACTTTCTTGACACACACTCCATTCTACATATGCATTACTTATTACACTTCTTTCATATATCAATTCATATGGATATCGCACTCTATGTCCATCTTGCAGCTAACTCCATTTAATTAGGAATCCGCTCCCTACTGACATTACTTCCATGGCGAGTCCCGGTTCCAACACCACTGATTTTCATCATCCGTTTCGAAGATCTACCCTATTTTATGGGGACGGTGTTGAGTACACGTCCAGCAATAAACTAAAAATGTCTCGCAACAACACCACCTACGAATGAAGCGAAACTCCTTTGCATGCTTCAATAGTTTCTCCGTTTGACAGACTAAACACCTACTTTTCTTCGCCAATATTATATTCTGCATCCCACTGGTACCGTACCATTTGCGCCACTTGCAACTACAGAACTGACTTCTCTCGGCGAGTTCCACAATTTAAGCATATATTTCCAAGGTCATCCCATCTACATCTCAAGGTCGTTCACTCCTACAAGGTAACACCCACTCAAGGTCGAGAGTGATCGAGGTCATATATGTTCAAGGTCACACCCCAAGGTCACTCGGAAACTCAAGGTCACACTTCAAGGTGACTCGGAAACTCAAGGTCACACTTCAAGTTCACTCGAAAACTCAAGGTCACAGTTCAAGGTCACTCGAAAAACTCAAGGTCACACTTCAATGTCACTCAGAAACTCAAGGTCACACTTCAAGGTCACTCGAAAAACTCAATGTCACACTTCAAGGTCACTCGGAAACTCAAGGTCACGTTTCAAGGTTACATTTCAAGGTTGGCACCGAAGGTCAGCTCTCAAGGTCGTTTGGCACCGAAGGTCGGCACTCAAGGGCGTCCCAGAACATACAAACAATATCTACTGACACTTCTTCCTGGTACAATATCTAATCTAGTCATCTTTTTATAACGTCTCTCAGCATTATTTCCAAATCTCTTTTCTCTCAACAACTCGACGAGGGAATTACTCACTTCTTTAGAAGGATCATATTTAACGTCTGGAATTTCATCCAAAACTTTCAAGCGATTCAAAGGATATATACCTGTGGCGTAAAATCCATTTTCTAGATTCCGTTTCACGCCCTTTTCATGATCACCTGGCTTTCTACTACTTTGCGAATCAACGTTGTCCATTTTCTCCAGGGCAGACTTTAATAATGACGGAAATACGTCTTTAGGAATTTCAGATGAACTAGAGTTCTTCATCTTATATGTGACCACTACATTGCGCCAGGCAGTTTTGAACGGTTTGAAAAATCTTATATCTAATGGCTGGCATTATATGCGTGGAATGTGGCACAAGACAGACAAAGTCAATTTGATTCTCCTGGCATAATTTTAATACTTGCTCATTAAAATGTCTTGATAAGTTATCCCCGATTAGGACCTTTTCCCTGCCAAACGCTTAGCATGTTGACGAAATGACGTGCACAACCAATCTTCAAAGGTACAGCTAACCATCCAACCATACGATGTACGATTAAACCTACACCCTTTCGAACAGCATGAGTTTGTGCAACCTTTAACGCCGCCCTCTTGCCAGGCATTATACTAATGCTCGCTTTTATAGATGACGTAAGGCGGTAAAGGGGTTCCATCTGCAGAACCTCATGTCATTATAGTGGTAGCACTTTTGGAATGATTCATGACATTGTCGATAAACCAATCTGCGACTACCGGGATTGCCCCCAACACTAGTTTCGTCATAATTTAATATGTTACTTGCCGGTACTCCTTCAAGAGTTTTCTCTAAATTTTCTAAATATTCCCTCAAAGATTGTCTGGAGACTCGTGCCCTGGCCTTATTGATATTTCTCGATACTCGTGCAGCAATGCCTTTGTGTCGTTGAAGTGCCAACATCCTTATTTCTAAGGTGTCTAATGGAAAACGCCAGTCCGCACACTGGTGAGCAGCGTTAAATATAGCATTTTCCTCGTTTTGGGTGAAAACGGGTTGTCCTCCTACATTTCGTCCATGTTTCCCATGATACTTGTTATGTAGTGGGCCGTATGGGATTTTATACTGCTTACTTGCAGCTAGTGTTGAAATTGCCCCATCGGAAATTTTCTCCAATGCTTCATTCAGTTGTGTCTCTGTATAATCAATATATTGCTGGCTTCCAGGTTTTCGCAGATATTTTCGGACTATCTGAAAAAAATTGTAATATCAATGGACATCAAAGCAAAAATAGAACCAAAAACAAAGCGTGGGACGACATTGATATCTCCTAAATTCGCCCCACCAATACTGTCAATAATAACCTACTGTCCAAGGAAGCAGTGAATAGTACATGAAATATGCACGCCACGTGCACCAGTCTGACCAATTCTGAAAACAGTAGATCTCTAATATAAGAATACTGCAACTGCGCATATGTCGCCGTTGCCTGACGTCTATTAAGGGACAGAAAAGTGGTAAGGAAAGCTAATATCAAAGTAGCCTCCTGTATCGTTGTCGTCCCACTCTACGGTATCAGGTTTTTTTTGTTCCTGCTGTCGTGGCTCAAGGTTATCACTCTCAATAGAACTAGACATATTTAAGCTCATATCTTTATTAAACGACTTGTACAGATTGTCGATCGGTAAGAAGACATGGGACAAATGTCAAAAAATGGCGTGATGACATATTATCGAACGGTGATCCCCCTCCATGCGTACTCGTGCACAGAAACGTTCGGAGCAAGAACTACACAACGACTTATGATGACTTGTGCCTTTTTTGTTCGGAACGTGCGCCTGCTAATATAGAGGCGTTTCGTGGTAAAAAGTGAATTTCGTGAACAAGTGACGTCGTCGTTTTTGAACCGAGCGATTCATATATAATGACTACAGAAATGATAAAAATATAGGTATTTATTTACAAATGGAATCTGAAACAACTACACACTAAAACATAAGGAAACATGTGCGCATGGTATTGCGGCACCTCATTTTCGGTTCTATGTGTGTCGGCCAATGATTTTTTCATCAAACCGAATATCAGGCTTAGGAGCAACGTGGCTTGTTGTATTATTCATTGGGAGTGTTCCTTCTCTCGAGGATGGTATTCCTCTTCTTTTTTGGACGCTACAGGTGTGCAGTAAAGCATACCCGATTTCACTTCGAAAAGTAATAAGACTTCTGTAGTTGGTAATACCAAGGCTTTGACAGTGGCGTCTAAACAGTAGCCAAGCATGTCGGTGAGATCCACCCCACCGATATCGGTATTATATATTTTTATAATACTAGGCCTGGGTATTTCAACATAACTTTTTTCGCTGAGGGACAATCTTCTTACTGAAGTTACTGGTTCTACACCAAAAAATGCAGAGTGCACAGTAACAGATTTATTATCAAACCACTTGACTGCTACAATATTTCTGGAAACTTCAGTAGCGAAATCATATGCACCTCTCCCATCCCTTTTCAATTCTTTGTCGTGCAGTAGTTTCAGTCCTTTCAGACTGTTGGACCGGACAGTTTCAATACGGAGGACACCCACTGACTTTAATTGTTGCACGAACTGGAGGGAAGTAAAAAAGTTGTCTGTACATATTTTGAAAATGTTTGTGCTTCGGTAAGTATTCTGTTAGTTGCACAACATTTCCACTCATTCCCAATTATTTATTATCTGTTGGCATATTAGTGTCTTTCCCTCTTTATATGATGACAGAGACGTAGTTTTTCAAACCGAATGCTTGGCATTACATCAGCAATCACAGTATATCTAGTTTGCTGATTCCAATCAAGTCGATAGCTTTGTATGCGAACAATACCGCTAATTGTGTGCATTCCTAGGAAATGACAGATTTCGTCATAATTCGTGCCTAAAAATGTTCTCATTTTTTGAACAGAGTAAAGATTGGTGTGGAATACTAAATTCTCAATAACTGAATCATCAAAAAACATCTTGAAGTATTCCAAAGAGGTACCTGTTTTTTCCACACTAGTGAAGAAGATGTTACATTCTGACGAAACTGCGTGAATATCACTTTTTTCCAATTAAATGGAACATGCGTAGTTTTTAAACCTGTATTTCGAAGCCTTGATGCAAGCTGTTCCAGAGGTAAATCATCTTCGCTGTCTTCAGATTGAGTGGTATCAATTTCTTGAATATCTGATGATATATCTCCCATACCAGTTTGAAGCAAAAAGTTTTCAGTATCGATGCATTCAGATACAGATTTTCTAAGAGGAAGGCTTGTAATATGATCCTCGTACTCCTTCTAGTAGAAGAAGCAGATGCTTTTCTTTTTTTTCAGCGAGACTTACCCGTGATATCTAGAAAAGGAAGTGGCGTGAATGGGTATCATATTCCCACTGACTCCAATTGGCGTCATCATTTCAGAGGCTTCTCATATGCGAAAAAACATAAATACACAATTCTTTACCATCAACTTACCTGTAGAGCTTGCACTGTGTGGATCTACCAATGAAATAACTTTCGACGTTCTTCGGTTTACGGTTTATGAAAAATGTAGGTTACAATACTTTGTGTGAAAAAATGTCTGTCTCTCGTGGCAAAACCATAATAATAATTGCGTCCCTGGTCAGTAACAAAACACTGTAGATCTCCGCACTGCCGGCAAAGTAGTATAAGGGCCTAGCAAGTAGCAACCAGGTGACGAGTTGAGGCGCCGCTCGCTAGATGGCACGAGAACTACAGTTTTGGTTTTCTGGTGGGTGAGCTTGACATACCGGCGGCCTTGAAAGAAAAGATATTGATGAGTAGGGCTTTCAACACTATTCTCAGGAAAAACTTCAACTGGCAGAAGGGCTACTCTCTGCACAGCTCTTGTAGTTTCGCCGTTGACAGTACGCACGGTTACAGTGCGGGCAACTCCATCTTCTCCATGGTCTAGTTTGGTGATGCGTCCCAGTTTCCATAGCATGGGAGGCAGGTTAACGTCGAGAAGTAAAACTAGCCTTCCCTCATGAACTTCTTGCGTATTCGCCCTGAACCATTTGGTTTGAACTTGAAATGGTTGAAGGTACTCCTTGGACCATCTGTGCCAAAACAATTGGTAAGCTTGCTGTAGGCACTGGTATTAGGTACCTTTACATTTACACTCTTTCGTGCGGGATTGGAACGCCCCGTTCCAATCACGCGAATTCTCGCGCGTCCAAGCGTGGCGCGTCCTAATACGAACTGTCTTAAAAATTACAACTGCTTATCGCACGGTTTGAGTGTGTGTCGTGGAACGGTATAGGATAAAAGTGCAAATGTAAATCTAAAACTGTCATCTTTCGCGAGTGATATTCGTGGCATGTGGAGTCTTGAAATTTTCAACAGTTTTCAAGGCGGTTTTTATCTTCATAATGGATAAAATAATTAAGAAACGGAAAATAAGAGCAGCTTTGTGCTTGGCTGTTTATCTAAATATTCCAAATAAGAGACAAAGAAAGTGTTGGGTGAAAACATGGTTGGAAAATCGCAACAGATATGGACATTTGCCTCTGCTTCATGAGTTGCGTGATAATTATCCCATGGATTTTAGAAACTATTTGAGAATGAATTCTGAATCATTTAGAATTTTGTTGGATTTGGTTTCTCCAATGATTTCTAAACAAGACACAAGATTGCGGGAGAGCATAGGTGCCGAAGAAAGACTAACAACTACTTTGAGATACTTAGCTACAGGTCGTTCGCTTGAAGATTTGAAATTTTCAAGTGGAATATCTGCACCATCTTTATGTAAAATTATACCTGAGACATGTAAAGCTATATATGAAGTATTAAGGAAAACATATTTAAAGGTAAGATTACTTGTTTTATTGAAATAAACTTCTTGTGATAACAAAACTTGAATATAAACTAAAAAATTAATTACTAAAATCCTGACTAGCTTGCTCATAGTAAGCTGTTATACTTGCTGAATCTAAAGCATGTAATCGAGATGTTCTTTCTGGAC